ATTTTTAGTTGGTAGAACATTTTAATCATATTAAGTACCAAAAACTAGGTAGAGAAATATTTATTACTAGGGTTCGCCCGCGACTCCGTCCGTAGAATTAAAACAAAACAAAACAAAAGTATGTAGCTATCCTCCAGACTATCCTCTACATCTAAGCCAAATTTAATCGAGATCCATTCAGCAATTGAGGCTATAAACTCTAACAAACATCCATCTAAACATTCGCATTTATAATATTAGTATGATTTGAAATGAATTGATATTTAAAACGCGTAAAAGAGTTTTTCTAACCTAAGCTTACATGATTTATTGTTACGGTAAAACTATTCCCAAGATTACTTCTCTTTGTCCGTTTATTTCCCGCCCATGGTCGATAGCGTCACTTCCGGCGACCGAATGACATCCGGCTTCCGAGCTTTACATCCGGTCCGTGGTTGAACCAGTAAATTGAATATCGTAACTTGTTGCTTAGTTTGTAATTTAACGTTTCTTAGAACTGTTCAAAATTCGAAATTATTTACTTTTAAGACAAATGATATTTTTTTTAACTTAACAATACAAATGAGATTATTTTAATTACATTAAAGCTAAACTTAATCCAGGGCAGTGCATAAAATAAGTCACTAACCCGCATACTTGTTGACTTTCTCAAGTAGTTCTGGTTTTATTGTGCGTGAGACAAGAGGAAGGGTCGCGGCATAAGTTTTGTCCCATTTAGAGGGATAAAAACTTGTCGAACCTCAATACAAGTAAGAGTTATTAGCCTCAAGAATATCTTCCCATACTTGATTTTTTATTAAGGGGCATATTTAGTGAATCCCATCGAAACAACAATAGGAAGTACAGGTAAATACTTCCAGTACAATTGATATGAGATTCGGGTAAAATAATATGTCTCTTGTCGATGTTTGTGTTTCCCAAATAAACAGATGAATGAATATTTGTTCTTGTGAAATATGGGAATTTCCCTTTCCGCGTATTACCTAAACTGACTTAAATCTTTCAATATAAAAAGTCCATAATATTCATACATACATATCATCTTTTAGAGAGTTATATTTTAAAAGTAATTACGCAATGGTAACGTAAGTACAGTCGCGGGAATTTGCGGTGTTCAGTTTACAGAAAAAATCCTTGTTCCTCACTACGAGACAAACGTCTTCCTACAAATACTCAACGGCGGAATAATAAAAAAAACAATTGGATGTGTATATTTTTCGTATAGACATTTAAAACGTGGAAGCCGTCAGATTCCTCGATTGTACATGAAGTATTCCGTAACGTATAACTTCAGCTGTTTGTACTTAAATTATACGGCACTAAGCGGAGTAATTAACGCTCTTTTCCAGTAAGCAGCAAGATGTGCGCAACTGCTGTTTCTGCAGTAACAGTTGTAGTATATTGATCGATCACAGAAATGATTGATATATCTGTCTTAGTGTATCAGTTTTAGTGTAACTGAATGCCGATATGTATGATTGTTTCTTGGTTTGCACCGAGTATAAGTTGGGTCGTTCTCTCTGCGAATCGATCCATCAAGCCGACCGCGTCCCGCCTGTGCCGATCATCGTGTTTTATAAACTCTTTCATTTATCTAATGAGTTTGTCGGACGCCCCGTTTTATAAACATAAAGCTCGTGTTTGTTGGGTCGTTAACGATATTTTGATAAACGTTCATAATTCTATTGACTGGAAGCCGAATGCTAAATATAGACTCGCTAAATTACAAATTTATAATTGTCGTCTAATGATTAATATTATAAATAGTTTTTTTTTTAATTATCACGAAGCCCCACTTATTTTTTAGCAGTATAATCTGACCAATGTAAAAGTTTACTTGTTTAAAGTAAGAACAGCGAGAGGGGACAAAGTGCAGCCACAAGTAAGCTCTCTGTCAGACTTAATGTTGGATTCGAGCTTAACTAGATCTGAAATGCGTTGGCCTTAATCCACTTAGAATAACAACAGGGCTAATGTCTACCGCCGCAGAACTGGCGTTTCTTATTGTCTCGTGGCTCGGGGATTTTCTACCAATTTATTGTAGGTGGGGACGTTATAATAAAGTCGTGTAAGAGATCAACTAAGGTGCAGGCAATGTTTTTACTTTGATGACAAAATACGATTTCCATTATAAATGCCCTGATACTACTTTGCATTATGTAGCACTAATAAATCGATAAAACCTTTGGTAATAATGTTTCAAAAATATCCATTGTACTCGTACTATGTCATACGATACGAATGTCACTTTGCGGCGGCCGGCTGTCCCGTGCGCGTAATCAATACGTGTACCCATATCCCAATTAAATCGGGAACAAAGCGGCATAGAGCCGGTCGATTGACGGCACTCATCCGACAAAAAGGCGACGGGGAAGAATGACGAGCGACCGCCGACTACAGCCACCAACTTCCCCGAACGGTGTTCATTAGAACTTGGACTTGTATGAATTTTAAGCAACTTTCCAATGTAATGAACACCGAAAGCGTCTAAGTTTTGAACGGTTCGAAATTTTAATACAACCATACACCGACGTCGTCTTCTTGTTTAGAAGAACAAAGTTTTATAGCCTTAAGCTCAAAGTGTGGAAGTTAATACTTACGCCTGTTAGAAAAAAAATGCAATATGTTTGCAAGAATAATTTGTCCGTAATAATTCTAAAGGCGTAAGGTAGTTATTTTTCTGTTAATATTAATGAATGGACTATAGTTTATGGAAGTAAAAGAATCTTTCTGATCTCTTACCATGTTCCAAGGCACATAAAAATATTCCTTTCTAAATTATACGCATTAAAGGTGGTTTAGTTTGGTATTACTAGAATATTATAATATTATAACAAGCTAAAGATCCTGTAAGTTGGGTCCGTACATACAAGGTACGCTATCGCATAACGTTCTTGTTACTAATATCATAACTTCTTGGTTCATTTAATTAACAATTTCCAAGATAACGTTTAGATTTTAACAGCAGCGTGGCTCAGTTACCTTTACTAGATTTTGAAATATATGTGTCTACGAGGATACGCTACATTTTGAACTTTACGTGAGAAAAACACACCTCTAATGAAATAAATTAACAGATGTAACTACATTCGTCGCAAGTACAACGAGCGTTCGAATGCGACTAATTGAAAAAGTAACATCCAAAAAAACGACAGCCCAATGCCGTTTTAACGTCGCCATTTTATTTAAATCCTTCGATAGAATTAATTCAAATTTACAGGCGCTGTGTAATAAATATAGCGGAATCGAGCGGCGTTTTCTGGCATTGGTTGACTACGGAATTTAATTCAAGCAGTTACAATAGCGCCTCCTTAGTTGTCGACCCCTTTCACTACAGATACTTCAAAGGGTCCGCCAGCCTGATATTTAATATACCGTATTTTGTATTCGACGTAACTTTTTTTCTGAATCATTTAATATTACGATTTTATAACTACCGTCGTTGCCCAAAACTAAATGGCGATGTGGTCAAAAAACACTGACATCGCCTGTACATTTTTAAATCTACCTCACAACTCTCGTGAAAGACTAAAAATATTTCTGCTCAATGAGATATCAAATCGCTTGCATAAAACGTAGAATTATTTATTATAAATTATTATTTCACTTTCGTAAAATTGAGTATTTCAACAAAAGTAGTGGTTTAAAGTCGGGCAAATGTGAAGTGTCATGTGGGCGACACACGGTGGTAACACCCGCATCGCTTATCACCGCGATACGCGAACCGACTGGCTAATGAGACGATCGATACCCACAGTCCTTATCAACACTCCAAACTTTAGTTATGAGAGTAACAGTCCGCTTTATTGTCCGACCTACATGTACCTGATAATATTCAAGCCTCCCTAAGTTTTATCTGTACGTAACGTTTGACCGTTTTAACAGATTATATACGAAACATTGTACACTTTTAATTTTTATTACAAGAACTTTTGTAAAAAGAAGTGAAAATTGACTCTAGTGATTTTCATTGATGTCGTATTGATTTTGCTTTTTGTAGATTAAAATTGTATGACACTTTATGAATATTTTCCAATTAACATATTAATTTTAATTAAAAATTTTGTTTCAAAAATGTTTTTTGCATTAAAAGTATATTTAAAGTAATTTTATTACAATTTAAAAATTGATTTTTTTGTCTTATACCTATATGTTTAATTCAGTCACACATTTTGATTTAATTTTTGTTTCAGTACTTAAGTATTGTATGTAATAAAGTATTAACAATTTTCATTTTTCTAAAGAAGTTAACATTTTTATTCAATTTCTTTTCTCCGAGTCTTAAAATCCAATTAAAAACAGCGGAGTTTAGTACTTTTAAAAACAAAAACTTAGTGACTTAGTTTAATTTCCGGGTTTTTGTCCTATAATTTTAGAAATATCACATTTAACGCTATTAAAAATACAGAAAAGGTTTATTTTTCATTTTTGTACCAACATCAATATATTACTTGCATAATAAAAAATATTATTACACAACGTAATACATTTATAATGCGATTGATGCTGTAAAATACAATAAACGTATGGATTAATGAAAATCATGTCAACTCATAATTTACGTGACAAAAATAATATTCTCTGGTGATACCCGTGAAAAACGGCGTAAAAGGTCTCCAGCAGGTCGTTATCAAAAAAGGCTGGTTATCTAAATTGCTCCGTAGCTGTTAATAGAAAAGAGAAAATCGTCAGCGAGAGGAGAGTTTCCGAGGTTGTGTCCGGCGCTGCCTTGCAACCTGTTGCCGCCGGCACCGCCTTCCGCCCCTTCGCACTTAGAATTTCCGCATACCCACATTTAAAGTTACATTTTTGGTCGAAAATGATGTAAAAATCCTGAAAAATAGAAATTTTGCCAGCACTTACCTTTCGATGTCTTGGGGCCCGTCACCGATTTTATTTTAATTTCAACACAAAATAATTGTAAAACCCAAAAATAAAACAATTTTATTATTAAATCAGTAAAAGGCTTAAATTATATTAAAACAAACTGATTTTTTTTTTTGAGAAAATTAAGGCACTAAAAATGATAAGATTGTAAATTAAAAATTTGGACGTAAAGTAACTTAGGAAAATGAATATTGCGTGTGTTAGCGCGAGCGGCGGCTTTCAGGAAGGCTGAGGAGCGAATGATCAGAGAAGATCAGGAGAGCGCGGTCCCGCCGGCGCGGCCGACTGCAGAGTGCCAGCGGGCCGAGCGGCGCCGGGCCCCACCCCTGGCGCAAGCGCGCTGCCGGTACCCGCCCGCCCCGCGCCGCCCGCCGCCCTCCCCGCCGCGCATGACCGACATCCTCCTAAAACTGGAAAAGTGACTCCTCCAACGGAGATACACCATTATGTACTAAATAAATATTGTATTGTAAAAGATGACGCCATCCGTAGGTATATAATTTTGACCCAGTTGGAGCTTTTCACTCTTCTCTTCGAGATTTTCCGGCATCTTATGATTTCCTTATTCTCATACTGTATAAAATTTCATCTTTCAGCTTCCGTAATAACCGCCCATTAACCGATCATAGCGTAGGAACCGTGAGAGGGAAAGAGTACAATACTTTGAGCTATATTTCAAGAATTACGCGTTAAACAACAAGGTTTGTTAGTAGCTAGAAGTTTTGTTTCTATGTTCTTCGACTACTGTGTTGTACAATTCTTTAATAACGGCAAAATATCCATTCCTAAGCGTGATGTCGTAACCGCGAGGTAGACTTTGGAATTTCGTCATTATTTTATGATCACTCTCGAGAAAAACGCGCATCTCATACGCATAAGGCGTGCTGTACTTCATGTAGACATAGTCGACGCTGTGTCCGCACACTGGCTTCCTGTTCATTGCAATGATAGAGCTGTTAGTCAAATATTCAATAAAACCGTACTTGTGATTTATTTTAGAGGTGATTTCGGCGGCCTTTTCTCTCAATTTATCGACTTCTACGGCACTGGTGTTGACGCTGGCGAAAGGATACAGCAAGGAGTGGCCGTCGCGGCGTATGGACACGTATGCTCTCAACTTGTTTTTGTACCTGTTTAGTGCGCCTAATATGAACGACGTCTCGCTTTCTGAGAATGGTTTTTTACCGGGAAAATTATGATCGAAGCCGTTTTGTATGACCCCACAATCGTTGAAAGACTCGTCAAAGTTTCGACTTATATCAACTCCAGCACTACGATCGTCTTCAGAAAATCTTAAATTCTTTTGCCAATTTCCTGGTGTCTAGAAAAGAAAACAAATCAAAATGAATATGTATAACATTTTCTTTACACAGTATTTTATCTTCTCATAGACTACCGAAAGATTTTTCTTAAAAATTGTTCATTCTAATAAATTTTAAGTATCATATGTGTTTATCAAGTGTTGTGACAATGAAAATCTATAGTATTTCTTAAAAACTCACGTATCTGCCGAATTCTCTTCCATCTGGATTAGTATTGGGGAGTATAACCCATCGAGCGTTTCTCAACATGTAAAGATTCTCTTTGCAGGCGACCAGCTGTTCAATAATAAACAGTGCAAAGTTGACAGGCTCTATACCAGCTTGCTGACCCGCCTCTATTAATATAACGGGCCTTGCGCTTCGCACCGTAGCATTGTCGTGAGGATGCTTCAATAAAACCTATTTAAAAACTGATTTTAATTTCAAACTTTTTGTACTGCAAAATCTTTATCTATATTTAATATGTTACTAATAAAAAAAAATAACTTACTTCATATAAATTTCTTTTTTGATAAGTTAATGTTTTATTATCAACTGAAACGAATCTTCCGCAATACTTTTGTATAGCCTTCAAGTAAATTGTTATCTGCATTCAAATTAATAAATTAACAAGGTTAAAAATAACTGTTACAAAATATATCTACACTATTAAATTAAATATAAAGAAGAAATATGAAGTCAAAAGGACTAAACTTAGGTTTCCTTACATAGGATTAAAGGAAACAAATAAACTTACAGCAGTACTCCCCATTTCAGCATTTTCGACGCAAGAAACTTCATTAGCGTTAAGTAAATCATCAAGCATATTCAAATAGCAACTGTTCACTTCTTTACATCTGAAATTAAACAATAGATATCAAATATATCGAATATTCCTTATATAATCGTATTATAAAGAATTAAGTGACAGAGTTTTACAATTGAAAATACTGATGTTAAAATCAAAAGGTACCAGTTACACTTACCCACAATACTGAAGAACAACAAATTGCATGAATCCTAAAATATAAACATAGCAAGTAAATTGTTATCTATCCTAAGCTTATTAAGAAAATTACAATGATATCATACCAGCTAATAAAAAACAAATTAAGATGTAGATTTTTTTCGTCTTCATCACTGATATTAATTTGATATGCTTAGACCAAAACATATATGAATTATTTTTTAGTACATTTATGCTGCGAACAATGTTATAAATTTATTGAGGTTATAAATAAAAATCAATAAAAGTTTCGAAATTTTATTACAAATATTGCAGAAATCACATCAGTCTTTACACGTTGTGGTCTCTAAAACGTTTGTTTGAGAACTCGTTGCGAATCTCCGAAGCGAAGGCTCTGAAACCTTCGTACAATTCAGGTAAAGTATTCCTTAACCGGTTCTCAGGGAATACGAATTCAAATCCATCTGTGAGTTCCATTGTATAAGAGTATGGTATATGAGCGGCGCCAAATGCGAAGTCATCGCTCCCGCCGGCCGCCGGGTACCACTGACCAGCGCTCATCACTTTAAATGGCTGACCTCCCGCATTCTGAACAGCCTGCGACACTTTCCTAGCTAATTCGTCCAGTTTCCTCCATTTCTGGGGCAGTATTGATGCCGTGTAACCCCATGGGTACACCAAGTACTGGCCGTAAGCGTGTAATGACACGTAAAGTTTAATTCGTTTAGGGTTCGACAGCATTACATCTCGCACCATCTGTGTCTCAAGTTCCGAGAACGGCTTATGTCCGGCGTACGTCTCCATATCGCATGGGTTATTTGATACTCCACTAACAGCCCAATGGAAACCGTAATTCCTGTTACCATCCACTCCGTAGCAATTGGAGATAGGGCTTTTAGATCGTGTTTTTCTCCACATACGATTCTAGAAAAAGGTAAGTTTTTTTTACTTAAATTCACTAGTACATTTTCTTCAAGGTTTTAATATTCATTGCTATTAATGTTTTACTTAAGATTTTTACATGTAGATATAATTGAGAATCAAGATTATTTATATGAACTAAACGTACCACCGCTAAAACTGGTTATTCTGGTCGCTTGTTACAGGCCAATATCATCCAACATAAATATACCGCAGTAGACAGAAATATAAATTTAAACTATAAACCTACTTTTTAGTGAACTCTTAGGTCTAAAATTGTAAAGATCTACTGACTTTATAACTATGCGGTCGCCATCAAAATTACCTTCCATTTGAGGAAAAATAAAAATCTGCCTCCAATTAAAAAATACAAAAGAAATAATATTGATCAATCGAGAGATCCTAATTTTCAAAGGATATTTTTACACCAGAGAAGGTTTAGCAGAAGGCCCAAATAAAAATATTTTAACACAGCGTCGACAAACATTCCTGACTCAGCTAATCTTATCTTTCTGTTTTAAAATACATGCAAAAGCTTATATGAAAGGATGGATGGATGTTTGTTACAAGGTCCACAACGGTTAATCGGACCTGGATATAATTTGGTACAGAGATAGTTTATTGTCTATCAAAGTGCACATACTTACTAGGTTTTATTGTAATTAACAGGCAAAGGTTAATGTTTTATAAACTTCCTGGTCTTGACTTGTTCCAAGAGCGTGTACTCACCGCCTTACTGGTGCGACTGAACTCGTAGCCGTCGGGGTTGACGACCGGCAGGATGTACCAGTCGACGCCGCGCAGCTCCCGCTTCCTCGCCTCGGGGTCCATGACCAGCCGGTGGATGAGGTACAGGGCCATTGAGGGCGCGACCCACTCGCGAGCGTGGATACCTGCAATGACACATTGGAACTTCCAACTTAAGGTGTGAAACTTTGACTAAACAATCCCACAAATGTTGTGCGATTGTCGATTGTTTTGCAGCTAATTCAATTGTTTAGTTACTTTAAACAAATCGAGAAGTGAGAGCACCTCCATATAAGGTAATTAAAGCGAGACTAAATAACTGTGCGATAGTTTGTATAATTTTTAAAAGTCGGAAAAATAAGTACCAAAATACATTTTTACATCAAGTTAGTTATTGATATTTCCCAGCCTTGTACTAACCTGCATCCACGAATATAACCGGGTTCCCCGCTTGAGGGTTTTGCGATATCTTGACAAGTTTCATTTTTCGCCCCTGATAACTTGATCCTAACGTTTGTAACTTTATCAATTCCGGGTGTTTGCTTGCCATCGTATCGATAAACTCTTGTATCTGGAAAATACAGTTACATTATTTTAACAATTTCTACATTGCATAAAAACTACTATCAATCGATATTAATGTGTGTAAAGCGTTTTATAATGGAACGTAGTAGTTATTAAAACATGGTTACAATCATTTGAGACATTTACTGTTATATTCTATTGGTGTAACATAAATTAGTGTTATAATTAAAGTTTAGATAGATGGATGTTTGTTAGAGTTTGTAACCCAAATGGCTGAACGGATTTCGATAAAATTTGGCATAGATGTAGGCATAATAGCCTGAAAGTACATATAGGCTACTTGTTTTTATTTTAATTCCGCTGGAAGGAATCGCGGGCGAAAGCTAGTTATATAATAAAACAACTAATACTAACAGCAGCAAAGGAATGGTATTCGTATATACTGAAACCTCTGAGAACTCTCCGCCTCGGTGCCCTCTCCGGAGACTCGAATGACCTTTACAATACATGTAACAAAAGTAATCATGTTTTCTGTTTGTCTAAATGTTTTACAAGCAAATAAGAATATTACAATAGAAACAATTTACTTTGATTATTGTTTTTTTAGCAAACACCTTTAATGTTGATATCGTAAATATATATTTCTTGTGAATAAACTTCCCCTTGAAATAAATTTAAGACATATCGAGATTAAGAAGATACTAGTAACAGGTTACAGTAATTTCCTATTTACGCATAAATTGCTTTGAAAATTGTACATAGCGCACTCAGTAATTTTAAATTCTTCCGATTTCACAGAAACATTGATCTTAGCGTATCTGTGAAATATTAACTACGCTGTAATTTCAACTTTAAACTAATGCGATAGATCTTAGAATCGCATACTGAATTTGTACCTGATAATACATTTTGAAATTTATACCTGCCGTATTGATTCTTCAGGTCGTAGTTAAAATGATTTTTCTCAGCCAAATCTTTAAAGCTTTGTAGTCGATTTGGTGGTACTAATACATCCGTACTGTCGTTGTATCCACGGCTCTTTTTTAATACTTCTATATCATCATTTGAACTCTGTAATAACTTTATGAATTCGAATTGTGATTCTTCTATAGGGTATATCCGAAAGAGTGTGTAACTAGAAATAAAAAAAAAACAGTTATTTTTACAATAAATATAGTAATTAAAGTAACATTGAAGTTAAATAAAAGATTACGTAAATACGATAATATAACAAAAAAGAAAATTTGTTTGGTTATACATTTTCTCTATCTCTATTAATAATCTGTAAATAATTACTAACAGCCTTATAAATAAACGCGGTGTAAAGTTAAACTTAGGAATAAAGTATACCGCGTTTATTTGTAAGGCTGTAATACTTATTATTACATCCTAGATGTATGTATTTAACATTTAAACGATAAAACAAACCTTTAATATAACTTACTTGTCATACTTATTATTACTCTCACCACAACCTGCTTGTGTCCATAATCCAATAATACCTTAAACAAATGAAAATACGTGAAATTACTATTTGCTAGTAAACATTACATTTTTAACAACTAAGGTACACACATTACACAGCTAATATAAAATAGACATTTGTTTTTTTTTTTAGTTTAGACTTCTCAGTACGTATTAAAAGCTAAAATGCTATTCTTCCATAATTCAATAACTTTTTTGCATTGTAATAATTTGTTACAATGCAAAAAGCGATTTATTAATGGAAAAAAAACCCTAATGAAACTTATTAAGATGAAGTCAAAGAAAATCAGAATTAAATTAAATCAAGCGGAAAATTACTATAGATTAATATTGTCAAATATCAATATTCAATTTTGTTTCTAAAATACAAAATTATAATTTACTGTGAAGTAATAATCCCATCAAAGGGACGTCTTTTATAATTTGACTTTAATTTTCTCTCGGCCTATGCAGCTAATATCAAATGAAAAACTCCGCCATTTATTAAATTAATATTATCAGGGATTCATTCGATCAAAGGGCAGCCCTATTGACATCAATCGGTACGGAATTGGTCCGGGCGAAGCCAAATCGCGTCGGCCGATGTAAAGACCTCAATTACCCGAAGCCAAACACGATAAATGTCCTCACAAATTAAAGAATTGCTCCACGCAAATAATCTGCCCTCTGTGGTCGGAGACGTTGAATGTTCTACGTTCAATTTATTATAGTTATAGCTGTTGTTCGCGACTTCGGCTTCATGAACTTTAAAAATAATAAAAAAAACACATCCTATACTACTCACAAATAACATAGCTTACTAATGGTGAAAGAATTTTTGAAATCGGCCTAGTAGTTTTTGAGTTATTTCAATACATACAAAAATACAAATCTTTTAAATTTAAAATATTAGTATAGACTTTACTGTTGCTTTAATTTCTTTATATTAAAAACATTTCCGTTTATGTGTTCACTACCTAAGTTAGGTTCGATATCACTGACAAGCAGGAGATTAATCTATAAGTAAAGAAATAGGGAAGCAGCATCCAAAATATGCGACAGCGTTCACGTGAAAATTACAAATATATACGTTACTCAGCGATAACGTAGCTTTTTAATGGTGAAGATTTTTTTTAAATCGGACCAGCATTCTTTGAGTTATTTCAATACACACAAAAATAAAAAAAAAATCTTCTTTATAATATTAGTATAGATATAGATTATTAATATGTTACGCCAGACTTTTTTTGTGACGAATAAAAGAAAAAACAATCTGTTCTGAATAAGATTTGTTCTATTGAAATTCATGAACTGCATGAGTAGTCTTGTGTTTTCGGATTTTACATAATTTGAGTTCCAACTTAGATATAGTTATCAATATGTACTTAATGGAATAACATTGAATCTTTGTAAATTTTTAATACACAGTACTGTGAAGTAACAGATAATTGGTGTAGCAATAATTATCACGGCAGTAAGAAAATCTGATTACTTCCGCACGATAACATTGTTGTGGAAAATAATAGAAGATTGTTTTTAATACGCTGTTTATTAAATACAATTAGCCGATACTAGGCATGTTACAGTTACGCTTGTAACCTGGTCAAACACGTTAAGGTTTCCGCTCTCGAATAGTTAAGCTTAATGTTATTAGAAATGAGTAAAAAGATATCATCATCATGAATTTTTGTCTGCCCACTGCTGAACATAGACCTTCCTCAATACCTTCCACAGGAAGCAACGCAGAATGATTCTGCATTCAAAACGATATACGAGTATCATTCTATAATAAATGCGAAAGTTTGTTTGGATGAATGTTTGCTACAAGCTATCTCCTAAACTAAAGGAATCTCTATTAAATTTTACGTAGATGTAGAGCATAGTTTGAAAGAACACATCGGTTATAATATTTTTTTTTCTACATTATGTTTAAGACGTGTAGCGAAAACGAATGAACGTGAAAGATTTATGATTTAAAAAAAAACGATTTCACATTTACTTGAAACTTTATGTACTATTATTTTTTTGCAACTTGTTAGGATCTCAATGACATATTTTTTGACACAAATCTTAATAATATTATAAAAGCGAAAGTTTAGATGGATGGATGTTTGTTAGAGTTTATAGGCTAAACAGCTGAAGAGATCTCGATGAAATTTGAAAGAACACAGTCTTCTTTTTTTTAATTCCACGCGGACGAAATCTCAGGCGAAAGCTAGTAACAAATACCTGTCACTTTAGTATGTAGAAATTCTATTAATTATTTGCACGTAAAAGGGACATCATCAATCATGTCAAGATCAAGGTTATCGTGGACTTTTTTTTAAAATCTACAACTAGAATTGAAACTAAAAATCAATAAAAATGCAAGAATAATCTGATAGCATGTGTAATATTTTCGAATGATTAAAATGTAGCATTTGATTCTATATTATAAGCATGGCTCACTTATAAAATCATTTGAGAGAAAGTGGATAACGTCCTATATGGAGGCGGAACTGATTTCAATACATCTTGTGAACTAGGCTAAAGAATTTATTTTATTGTTTGTATTGTAATTTTATCTTCCTCGAAACAATTAGATATAATTTTATTTATTACGAATATAAATTTTAACCTTACCAATAACATACTTTACAATTAATTCCTTTACTAATATTTTAGACAACACATTAATTATTTTATTCAATTTTTTTTGTCAATTACCCTACTTTGCACCATTTGTTTTTTGTTATTTTTTTTAAATAATTACACTTACCAAATACAAAAAATAAACTGGTAATTTTATCAGCCATTTTAACTGTTGTCACTATAACTAAAATAAAATAAATAATTTAATTTAACTTAGAATAAATAAATACTTCCGATGTAATAGAGCTCGCGCAAGCGATCGTCCGCGCGGACTGTCGCGCACTGACTGCGCACGCGCACGTAGGAATCTCCAATCTCGAAATTACCGTAACGGTACGCTCAGCCTAATTAGATATCGAGTTAAGGACCACCTTGATTGCCATAACGTCGTGATTATTTAAGCTTAATTAAAAAGATTATCGTGACAAGTTTTACGATGATGGTTTCTATTAAAACAATGTGTAAGCATTTCCTCCATTATTTAAATTTTCATCAGCTAAATTGTTTCTAATGCTATAATTTATTTTCTTATTTACGTTGAATTAACAAACATTGTATGTTTTTAAGTGAGCTTTTTTTTATAACTTTGGATTGACGTTTTGTGGAAAAATACTTAGGTAATTACGTATTTAAATTTTTATGTTAACATTTTGGTTTCATAATTTTCTTAAAGTAATATTTATTTCAAATAGATAAAATAGTTATTTTTGTTATTAGGCTTAGAAAACTAAAGAAAACCAATAAACAATTCGAAATCTACGATATAGCCTCATGGTATTTGACGGTATTGTTATACAAATAGAGAGAAGTTTTAATTTTAATTACATAAGCGAATCCGAGTGCGAAAGTTATTCTAATTGTGATAGTGAAAAACATGTCGAGTTTAATGAACCAGAGTGACACTGATGGCGTCGGCGCCGCGCCGCCAGCTCGCCCACGCACTAACGGACTCCATTGTTCCAATCTCTTTTATATTGTGTTAAATCTTTTCTTACACTATTCAGGTTATATACTTTCAAAGGTAACAAAGGCAAATCTTCTAAATGTCACCAATCTTTTGATCTTTTGGCCCATTTATAATCTGCCTGAATTCAATTCCAACACTTTTATCCCTAGTTAGTAGTCCCTATTTCTATTGCATATTGACGAACTGCACAATCGTTCTGTGACGTTAGACTTTTCAATATTTTTGATTAAAATTTGAACCTTCTATGACCTGGATTAAATCCCAAAGATGGTATTTAACTGCAATAGTAACATTCAAAAGGAACTTCACTTTCTTTATTTTCTTTGGAGTATTTCGTATGCAACACTGGCAGCTAACAACACACTACTGACATACTTTGTAGTATTATCAAGAACGAATTGAAGAGATAAAATTATTGTGTGCTGCACATTACGCATTATTCAAGTCGTACAGACTTTTTGATACTATATTACGCGTATTGTATTACAAACAAAGCGGAAAGTCGGTTTGCTAACGTTTAAGGAAAACAAACACATGACGCACCAAGGTATAAGTGGAAGAGAAAGTGATAAAATTCCATTTCGTATGTCCAGTTTTGACTTCTAACAAAATGTTTTTGAATTACCTTAACATCAATTAGTTACAGTTTTTTTGGTTGACGGATTTTTCCTTGGGTATTCGTAAATGACTACTGTGGCTTACATGACTTGACTAATTTTAATATAACTAATATTTGTTTACATTCGATGTTATCCCTTGAAATGTTAGTTTTTTTTTCTTTTTATTATAAGGTGGAAAACGAGCGAGCGGCCACTTATACAATGGCAATTGCAGATGCGTTGCCTACCTTTAATCAACGGAAGAGACGCACATAAAGATTTCCCCTTCCTATGCGTCTCCTCCACCGCCAAATCCCCTTTCCTTTCCCATCATTTCCGTATAAAAAAATGATGGTAAAGGGGCCAAAAATAGGTCTCTGTTACTTATTATTTTTTTATTTTATTACTGGCATAAATATCATTTCTAACTAACTTTTTTGAATTAAAGGAATTCTCAGTTGATTAAAATTAAACTCTATTATGCTTTCTGAATTGAATCTTGCCTGGACGCCTAATAAGTTTTGACTGGCGTCTCTTTTGTATATATCGAGAGCTTTCCCATATGTACTGGAAGACGGCACGAATTATCCGGCCCCAAATCGCGTTGAGAGAATCATATGCCACCTGATTTTCAAATGCATTGTAGTTGAATATCATGGAATAAGGCTGCATCAAAAATTCCAAGGAGAAAGGTACACCAAATACCTGAAACAGGTATAAACGATACAAATGTCTTACCTATTGTTAACACTTTAGTGCTACCGACATGCTTGGCGAATTCTTGACCAATTTCTTTAGATGTTTCCAGTTTTTTTTGTTTTAAGAAACTCGAAGAAATAAGGATGTGACGAAACGTAAAATAGGTTCTTGCCTTCAACATCTCATTTATCAGAAACTATCTGCTCGCGAGTTTCTTCGAGTGAAATAAAAAATAATAAAAAAATACCTATGTTACTCAGTGATAAGGTAGCTTTTGTACGTTACAAGAATTTTCGAAATCGGTTCAGTAGTTTTTGAGTTATTTCAATACATAGAAAAATAAAAATCATTCTTTTTTATAATGTTCGTATAGAAATCTTCCAATTATAAATTCTAGGTTCTCTAATTATATGAAGTTATGAATTATGTTGGGTCTCCAATTGCATACAAATAATTCTATAAAATAATTAATGAATCACTAATTGTTAACGTAAAAGTTATTATTACCGTAGAAGCATAGTCAACGCTGGCGCCGCCGATAATACCATACCAGCTATAGAGTGTATCTACAGTGACCGCCATCAGCCGGAAGCTGGCATTCCTCATCGCCTCGTCGATCTCTCCCTTCAAATCGATATAATGGTCATCGTCTTCTTGAATCTCTGTATAACCCTTCGGGTACAATACTGCTTCCCCCTAGCATTAAAAAGTTTAACAAATCAAGAACACAAATAGTAAAAATAGACACCCAGAAAATAGTTAAAAATAAGACAGTTTCAAAATTTGGATTTATCTTCCTAGACCAAGCTTAGAAGCGCTGACGACTACTATGTATAAGATACTATTCTTAATGCAATTAATCACTAAGGGATACTCTTAGTGTAGATTTAGTACGACCAATGTTTAACTAACTACGACTCTCTTAATTATCCTTTTTGGTGACAAATTACTTAGTTTACGCACCTTAAAAGTCCTCTCATCAAAGCCATTTCCGTGTACGTTGATGTATGCAACTATTTTGTGGTGATAATAATGAAATATTTTTCTTATAGCTTGTGTCTCTTGTTCAGAAAATGGCGTGAATCCCGGATAATTTTGACTACACGAACTAATAAGTTTGGTGAAATTCCACGCCACATCGAAGTTCCGATCCAATGCGACACCTGGACAGGCCTTTTGTTGAGACACATTTTTGTTCCAAAACGCACGCTACAACCATATAAAGTTACGTTACACTTGCATTTGAATTGTAGCTATCTAACTTTCGGTCGCAACTCCGTCCGCGCCGAATTAAAAAAAAACTTAATAAGTAGCCTATTTCTTCTTCCAGAGTATGTTCTACATCTGTGCCAAATTTCGTCGAGATCTGTTCAGCCAGTGAGGCTGCGAACTCTAACAAACATCCATGCATCCAAAGTTTATTATAATTTTATTAGTCTGAATATAACATAAGCTAAAGTGAAAATAAACAACTTACCGGGTAAGTAATTCCATCAGGATTGGCCATTGGTATTAAAAATATATCAAACTTATCCAAAAACTCGAAATAATAGTGTAGAAGTGTTTGGAAACTCGCAACTTCCGTAAGACACGGTATTTCAGTTATCCCTTTTACACCCAAACCGTGGACGATGAAAATTATTCTCTTTTCAAAGGAAGTATCTTCGTACTTTCCTCTTCTAGAGGAGGGTAATTCGCTCACTTTTAACAAAACTATTTCATTGTACTCAACAGTGCGGCCGATCACTTCAATCGTTATGTTGATATCCGGAAATTTTGTAGCTATCTTCTTTAATTGAGCTCGTATCTAGAATATCAAATAAAGTAGGGATAAACTGCGTAAAATATGTGAAAGAAGGGACTTAGTTCAGATATGACAACTGATAGAGATGTATGAAAGAATAGCCGGTTTGTCGTCAGCAAAAGGCAGGTCGGTGATGTCCGATCAACAGTCTTTGTCATACAACTTTTCTATAAAAGAAGTAATATGTTGATTTGTCTACTTTATATTGGTCTGTAACAATTTTAAGGTAACCTTAAATGGGGGATTTTATTTTATTTGTCGCAAATTCATATTTTACAAGAAGGAAGTAGCGTAAATTTGTAACATACTAACGTTGTAAGGGTCGAAATAGTTAGGCAACTCTACTTCCTCCTCATCATGAAATTTCTCTCTGTAATAAAAAATGTAAAATACATATGAAAAATACTAATTCAAAAATGTTCTTGTCGATGACTGGACGCCTATAATCTAATCTAGTTATACTTTATACCATTATAATGAAGCGTAAACACACACTTCTTTGTTGCCTAAGTTGTCAGCAATTACAGCATATTTTTGAATAATACTGCTTTTAATAAGAAGCCCTACACTTACGTCACGCTTTAGGCTATATATTTTTACGACATTAAACTTAGGGGCTAAATATTTTGGATAAAAACCCCAATGTGGGAAAGACACCATAAGTTGCTGCCAACATCAAGGAAGCAAGATTGCTAAGGTTTGTCATGTCATTTTGACATTGACTTAATAATTTGACAAATGTAAACCATAAAATAAAATTTTCATAATTTCATGCGGGTGCAGCTGCACGGGAACAGCTAGTAACTTAATAACAGGAAATTATTAGTTCCGCTTTTCCAAACTAGTTAATAAAATCCCAAGCTTGATTCCCCTCTTTCTACAACGTCTTTTCGCAATCTACAATTCCAACTTATACAAATAATCAATACTTAGTACTAACCTTTCATCCTTTGCCGGTGGTTGTGGATCTTTGTCTTGTCTTCTAAAGTCTTTTCTGGAGCAAAATAATGAAAGATTTTTATAAATAACTACTATTTAAACATCACATTACTTATAATAATTTTTGGAAAACATACACGGACTTGGTACTTCTCAGAGAGTCGACTGGAAAATAAAAGTTACATTATAAAACAAGTGATTTCGTGGAAATTATATTGTTATGGAGAATGAGTCTTTTTTCTTTTCTTTCTTTCTAAACGTCATTTCTAATGGAAGCCTAATTTGACACAGGAAGTATCACGCGTTGCCCATTAACTCATAAATGTAACGTTCAAAGCTTGAATAAAAAGTAAAAAGATTAAATTCATTCCAATTTTATTTACAACTAGCTTACGCCCGCGACTCCGTTCGCGTGGAAGTAAAAAAAACAAAAATGAGTAGCCTATATGTTCTTCGAGACTACCCTCTACGTCTATGCGAAATTTCATCGAGATCCGTTCAGCCGTTTAGCCTACAAACTCTAACAAACATCTATCCATCCATCGATCCATCTAAACTTTCACATTTACAATATTACTAAGATAAGATTAGTAAGATTACGCATTTTGTAATAGTTTACGTGTATTTTTAAAATTCGGTTTTTAAAATTAAAATTGTTAATTGTAATGATGAGTGGCTGAATTTAATGAAATTAGTCATTTTCAAAATTAAAAAGATATATAATTTCAGGAGTGTTATTCAAGTATGGAATTAAGGTCTAAACCATAAAATTAAGAACCGTAAATAACTGTACATTTAAGAAGTCGAAAATAAACATAGTTAACGCTATTTTTGTTTTTAAAATTATATACCTGATACAAAAGCTGTAAAAAAGATAAATGATAAAACATTACAAATAAACCTCGGCTCCATAACTTAAATATTTTTCCTCACATAAATGCAATGTCGTTACTATTTTTATTAAAAAAAAATATATTTTAGATTTTTCAAATATTGTTTCGATCATAAAATTGATTTCCTTGAATTTTATGTTTTATTATTCGATTTGTTGAACCGTTACAAAAAAGAAATTTTAATTAAATTCAAGAGTTCATTGAAGTAAAACATGTGTTTTCACCGCCAATAGACATGTTATGAACATGTTTTTAGCTGATTTCATGTTGTATATTTTGGTAACTACTTATTTACTGTTATTAGAGCCTGTCCCACCAAATTGTAAATTGTCTGATAACAATCCAACATGTAAAAAATGTGATGGAAATATCGGATTTTGTTATCTTATCTGACAGGCATATATTTAGTTGTCAGACCCTTAATAAACTTTTTTTAAATCTTTGTTAGGAAAAGGGGGGATTTTTTCTTTGGAAAGACATCTTAATCCCATAGTGCTACTTTTGAGGCCCTTAGTAAACTTGAAATATAAGCTTTTTTAAATTGAGAACAAGACAATTTATTATAATTTTTCATCACCCATGTCAGAACAGAGTTTTATGTCGTGTTACATTAGGAAATACTTAGCGGGGAAACAGCTATTACAAAAATGAGGCATCCGTTTTGACCGCTCCCTTAAATCTTGACCGTGCGGACGTTAAAATTTTCATGATCCCCTTAAAAGTGTTGTTTTACTGTTCATGGCTGTTATGGCACCGGCCAGCGATCGCTTGTGGTCTAAATTGTTAACGTAATTCAAACATTAATACGATTTTAACAAACAGCTTCAATACATGTAATAAACCAATACAACCTAGTACCTTGGTTAGTGTATTTTTTGTACTGAATGACTTTATAAACTGGTTTTGTTTTAGTTGTAGGTAAACCAACAAAATTAAAAACGTAATCTTATTAAGTTTCATACTTTCACACGCTTACAAATAAACGCGGTATAAAGTTAAACTTATGAATAAACTGAGTATAAAGAAATATTAGTACAAATTTTGCTTATACTCAGTTTATTCCTATTTATAAGGCTGTAAGAATACTCTCTCTTTTACATTTTAGTTATGCATTCAACTGACTATTCCACCTTTTGTTACTTTTCTATCTAGAATCGCCCATCTTCTCTCCCTTGCGCCGATAACTTAGAACCTCGTAAATGCGCTTTAAGATTTACACCTACACAAAAAAACTGTTAGGGCTCCTGGCTCAATCTTCATCCAAAGCACAAGTAATAAATCGGACCTTAAGGCTTTAAAACAACGCATTAAACAGCGCCAAGGGATAAATAAAGAGTTGATTCTAAGTACTTATTTAAGATTTTGGAATAGTACATTTGAACCTTAATTAAATTATTGTTTGCTTATTTGATATGCACAGTAATATTAATAAGAGGGATTAAATTGCATAATAACCTATAATGTAGTGTAATAAAAGTACTATTCTATATCTATACTATTATAATAAAGCGTAAACACACACTTCTTTGTTACCTAAGATCTCAGCAATTGCAGCATATTTTTGAATAATTCTCTTTTTAATAAAAACCCCTACTCTTACGTCACGCTTTATGCTATATATTTACCGCCATTAAACTTAGGGGGTAAATATTTTGGATAAAAACCCTAATGTGGGAAAGAGACCATAAGTTGCTGCCAACATCAAGATTGTCATAGTAATGTAATTGGTATTTTGACATTTGCAATTGTGAATTTGACAAATGCAAATATTAAATTTATAATTTCATGCGGATCAAGCCGCACGGGAACAGCTAGTTAGGAATACAAGTGGTTATTACTTTTTTGTGTAATCCTTTGTTGAACTCTGTATGACTCCTATAGATATAGGTTAGGTTACTATATGATATAAGGTACGTTTACATCTAACAAATAGTTTCCATCGCATCGCATTAGTTATTAAATTAGTTAGGTTTTCAACAAATTTATTTCGACACAAGAGCATATCCATTTAAATGACTATAGACTTATGTCGGTTTATTAAAAACGAGTCTTAATTATGCTGAAACTACATATTTTCAAAGTTATTAAAAATTAATTTAATAATGCGAAGCGACGGACATTTCTTGTTAGATATTAACTCACCTTATATCAAGAAGTAACCTAACATTTATTTATAAAAACTTATACTTAAAAATGCATTACGCCATTGTTTTGGAGTTGCCTGTGTAATAAATTATAGTGTAAGATTTGTGTGGCCTGCCGAAATGATGGCAACATTGTATTTTTTACGGTACAATTTACAACGTGCTAAACCATTGCAACGCGAGACGGTCACGAAACGCCACCATCGAACGAACAGCTGTAAAACGGTTTCATGAAAGCATTTTCTACTAAAATGTATAAAACAAATAAATCTTGTGGTACAACACAAATCAAATTTTAACTATAGTTACAATTTTTAAAGATAATGGCTCTTGCTCGCAATTCTTTACGCGTGAAATGTGAAAAAAATAAAAAAAAAGAAATGAAAAATCATAGCCTATGTTACTTACAGATAAATTACCTTTTTAACAGTGAAAGTTTTTTTTAAATCGGGTCAATAGTTTTTGAGCCTATACATTACAAACAAACAAAGTTTTACTCTTTATAATATTAGTATATATTTAGAAATTCTAGATGTTAAGTAAGTAGTACTTAGAACAGAAAATAAAAACATTAAAAAAGTATGTTTTACTCAATGTTTCGGCAGTGGAAACCGGATAGGACTTCTACGTTCTCATTCTTCCGGAACACTTACTAAAGTTAAGATATAGTGTAGTACTCTATACAAACTACCGAAACGTGCGTACTGTTGTACTAAATGAACGGCAAAGAGGTCGTTAACGCAAGCTATTGTCATAAAACTGCAGCTAACATCCGTCTTTAACTCGCAATGGATTACACAATTGAGCAATAAGCATGACCCCTCTCGCTTTACTTCTCTGCCTTAATTTTTCTCCCTTTTATGTCTTTACTTTATTTTAATAAACGGTAATAATGTCAAGTCATTTTAATAATGACAACTCGTTAACTTCCTTAATAAATTGTATCAAATAAATATCTGTAATAATAATGTTAACTGTTTTAATAATCACTCAGTTTAATTTATGTTATTTATATTAATAATATAATATATTAATAATATTTGTCGTTCAAAGTTTAGGAATAGATGACATTTAAAAAATGGTTTAAAACAAGAGATAGAATTGAAAAGTTTACTTAAAGTGGTGTTCAATGAAGTGACGTGAAACGTTTCACGCTGCCGATTTTATAGCGGAGCTGACGGTCATCCAATCTACTAATACGATGGAATTGAACTAAATCTCATGAGAAAACCTGCGTCTCTTATCACAAACACAATTCTTAGCCAACTATTTATAACAAGAAATGTCTCAAATCTCAATAAAACTATGCATCAGGTTGGTAAATGTCTTGTTTTAAATCTATATCTATATTATTATAATAACGCGTAAACACACACTTCTTTGTTGCCTAAGATGTCAGCAATTACAGCATATTTTTAAAAATCGTAATGTGGTAAAGAGACCATAAGTTGCTGCCAACATCAAGGAAGCAAGGTTGTCATGTCATTTTGACATTTGCAATTTGACAAATGTAAACAATAAAATAAAATTTTCATAATTTCATGCGGATGAAGTCGCACGGGAACAGCTAGTTATCAACAAATGTCTGAGGCAAGTCTTGAAAAAATCTATAATAACTGTATTTCGCCCGCGACTACGTCCGCGTGAAATTAAAAAAAAAACAAAAGAAAGTAGCCTATGTGTACTCTCAGACTGTCCGCTACATCTGTGCAAAATTTCATCGATATTCGTTCAGCAGTTCAGGCTACAAACTCTAACAAATATTCATCCATCCATCTAAACTCTCGCATTTATATTATTAGCAAGAAGTAAGATAGAACATATAATGGGCGTCGCCAGTCGATCTTCTAGTCTAGGTGTTGGTTAGGGGGTAGCTACAGTTAATATGGTCTTATTCGTAGAAGTTTAAAAAAAACATTTTTCGAATCTCTAGAGTGAAGGAGGCAGCTGCCCCACCCTGACGACGCCCATGCAACATAACCCTCCTCATTGACGTCACAAGAAAAATCAAACTCTTG